CCGATATGGAAGACTAGCCATTGTCGCTATCTCCCACAGTACGACACCATACGACCTAGATCAGGGAGCACGTGGACGAAACAGAGTACCTATGTACTATGAATACAACAAGTTAGATATCACGATGCTGTATTAGATACAAAACAAACATCTTGATGCCATGGATTTTAGATCGCTGTAAATCAGAGAAGAGTATGCGGTATATAAAAAGTGCAGTTCCTCATGCGATCTTCTAGCACTCCAACTCCACACGCAAATACCACCCCGCCGCGTAGATTTCTCTCAGCCATTGATCAACTATTCGCATCTTCCAAAAAATTCTCTGGTGTTATATGAAGACAGGCAAAGGTAGATGCGTCTAGGCCCTCAAGACTCAGATTTTATATGCACTCATAATGACTGTCGTTTAGAAAACAGGGGCTGCTTTAGTTTGTATACATCCGGATACATGATACTAAATGCCAAACAGACTGTCACAAAATACTCCACTGATCATAAAGCTTGTTTGAAACCTGTCAAATTTCGTCTGTTCCGAGATCAACTATAAACGAACCGAAATTCTCTGAAACTGGACACCTTTTTCGTATTGCTGGGGAAAAAAACCGGGAACGCTAATTATTCGCATCAAGCGAGTTCCCCCCCCGCACCGGAACATACAATACTCTGCTTGATTAAGTGAGAGCGATTGGATGATGTATTCCTGGAGCGCGAATCCGTTCCATCCGATAATTCACCTTCAGTTGTAAAACACTGGGAACTTGTCTGTTTTGGCTTGCGCTACCTGGCGGTATAAGGATAAAAAACGGTATCGGATTGAGCGGATCAAACTGATCCGGAGCAGAAGATACTTGGGGATCCGTGAAAACAGGAAGGTTTGGTGAACAGTTTTCAGTTTGAACAACCATTAATACCATGCACTTTCATGCGATGCTTTTGCTTACTGTCTTTTGGCTGCCCATTTGGATGAACAGTAGGAGAGATACAGGAAGATTGAAAATAGAGAATTTCATTAGACCAAGGTTGCAAAGAAATTGAGGAGATGCACGAACGCCACTGTTTACGACACCCAGCCATATCACTCAGCTTTTCTAACCGTCGGTTACGATCATCCCGAGGTCCACATCCACGGAGCCTAACGGGACCTATATGACCCAGATTCCTGGTTAGGGTTCTCATACCCTCATGCCAGGTCTCAGCTTGGTAA